GAGGGAAGGCGTAGTTAGGCGCTGCCGTCGGACTTTTACGTCGGTATCGATCGTCCAACGCCATCGGACGCTCCAATGCCGTAATAGATGCTAGCTCCATCGACGGAGTATCCAAGGGTGGCGACAAGCGGCTTGCCGGCGTGCAAGGCTCGGTGTACGTTGGCCATCGAGCAGCAGCAGCCGCGCCGGCGGCGGCTTCGGTGTAGGCCTCGGTCAGGTGGGTGACGAGCGCAGAGCGGGCGGCCGGCGCAAAGGCCTTGCTCGCGCCCACGGTCACCGACTTGTTGATTCTGCGGACGGCGGCAGTAAGGTCATCACGCGGGAGCGACGACGGGACCATGCCCGGCCGCCACTCGCCACGAAGCTCCTCGGTGCACTCATCAATGAGTTGCCCCAACGAGACTGCAAAGCCCGGCTCGGCCCGGGCCCGGGGACCTCCGTGCTGCATGGTGTGAGGGTGGGGGGTGGGGTGGGGTGGGGTGGGGAGGAGGGAGGGGGGTTGCGGCAGCCACTCGGCAGCCGGCAGTGTCGAGGAGAGCTTGCAGAGCCTGGTGGCTGGCAGGGTTAGTGGCAGGCAGTGCGAAAAGAACGGGTTTGGAGGAGTGGTTTGCAATGCTTGCTCCTTTCGAAGGAAACCTGAGACAAACAAGCGGCGCCGTTTGGCTGAAACAGGACGTCTGTTGTCCGACACACTTAACCCTATTTGCAATATGAAGATCGCTATTGTTGCTCTTTGCATGCTCGCCCTTGTGGCTGCTTCGCAGGCTGCCCCGGTCACCAAGCCCGAGGCTGACCTCTGCCCTATCTGCCTCCAGCTCATGAACGAGGCTCTCGGTACGTTGTTGAGGGCGTAGGTCACGTGCTCACAAGCCATCCGCGAGATGTGGATCTCGCGTTTTCCTGGCCGACCGGCCCCCGATGCCCGACCCCGGCCAGCTTCCCAAGACGGCTAGGGGGAAGGGGAGGGGCGGGGAGGGGAGGGTTGTGGTGGCAGCATGGCCGTACACGGGTGGCGGGTAGCGGGTGGCGGGTGTAGCATCCGCTTGCGGGTGCGGCGGGGAGGGCAGGGAACCACGTTGTGGGGCGGGAGGTCTTTTTTTTGTATGGCGCGCAAAAGGGGGGCGAGCGACTCACGGCGGAAGGCGCAACATTTTTTCCATGAAATGTGAATTTGTATGACATGGACAACAGACCAGCTCGTCAACATCATCCTCAACGTTGGTGTCGTCGGCTCGTGCGGTGACGTTTGCGGCAAGCTCCCGGCCAAGCTGGAGCAGGTTGCTTGCGACCTTGTCTGTGACTACGTTGGTATTACCGAGTTCGTCAAGATCCTCCAGGAGGTCGACCCGGACGCAGTGTACATCTGCCAGGTCCTCGGCGGCATCTGCCCGATCCACGACAACGCCAAGGTTGATGACGTCAAGCTCATCGTTGCGCCGTCCTCCGGCCAGCAGGGCTCGACCTTCTCCATGCACTTTTCGTTCAACGTCGTCAACGCCACTGGCGCCGGCGAGGTCGCCCTCGGCATTCAGCCGCCGAACGGTGAGGGCTTCGGTGACGGCCAGCTCGTGCCCGGCTTCCCGGTCGGCCCGATTGCCATCTCGTTCCGGCTCCAGGCCAAGCCGTCCGAGCAGGAGCCCTTCTCGCCCGGTACCTACCAGGTTGAGGCTGCTGTCTGCAACGGTGAGTGCGGTGCCACCCACCCGCACACCGCCACCCTCGGCACTGCGTCGGCCTCGTTCGTGATCACCCAGTAAGCCCATCATCTCTGTCGCTTCATTTGCGGCAGGCTTGCTTGACATTGAACGTGTTCGTTTTCATCAATCTGTGTTAGTGTGGGAGATAGAATGGCGTAGACGGGAGTGGGGGAGGTTGACGATGGGTGGCTAGCAAGTGGCGGAGGGAGGAAACCAGTGATCACCGAAATGCCGTGTGATGCTTGCTATGGCACCGCATCCATGTCTACTCCAGGTTGACCGAGAGGCTCAATGTTGCGTAGAGGTGGTTGGGAGAGAGAGAGAGAGAAAGAGAGAGAGAGTGTGTGGGGGGGTATGCGCAAGCGATACGGTGTGTACATTGCTAGCTCGTCAGTCGGGACAACGACTCGAGTCCGATGGTGGCTCGGCTGACGGGGATCCACTCGATGAGGGTTGGAGCAGATCGGTCGGGTGCAAAGGTGAGCACAGTCGATACGTCTGGAGCAGGCACGCGATGATCGCAGGCGATGCGTCTGGTGCGGGTGGCACAGTGGCATGGCTACGATGTCGGCGACGAGGACGCGGCCGACGCCTTGGCCGACGCCTTGGCCGACGCCTTGGCCGACGCCTTGCGCCAGCGATCAAAGACACGCGAGCAGTCAAACTCGGGCTTGCCGAGGTTGTAGTTGATGCGGTTGTGCATGTCGCACATCCACTGGGCGTACTCGGCGCGCGAGCCAAGCGCCGGCGGGAAGAGCTCGATCTGCTGGCGTAGATCCTCAGCACAGACCTTGCAGGGATAGACCTTGGCCAGCGAGGCGAGAAAGGCGGCCATGTCTTCCTGCTCGCCGGCCGACGGGTCCTCCGGATAGTACACCGACGCAGTGTGCAGTAGCGTCCATGTCGCCCGCCCCAGCGCCGCCCGCCCCGGTGGCCCCCTCGTCTGCCCGGCCCCCGCTCCGCAAATTTTTTTTATTCTCTGTTGGGGGGTTTCCCGCCCTTTTTTTTTTTCTGGGGGGAACACATTTCTTCGTACCAACCACGTATGAATAAA